TCTCCCACCAGATGGGGAGGAGTGGACAGCTGGAAGGGAAGCCGAGCAGGCCTGTGGTTGGAGAAGTCAGTGTGGCAGCCCTTGATCTGGACTACACCTGGGGATAGGTGTCCCACGCACATTTATGTGAGGATAACTTACAGTGTCCTGGACATTGCACACAGCTGTGAGATAAGCGAGCTATGACAATGACTAGCTAGCATACGCACAGGCAAGCGAGGCTCAGGACATTCAGGCAATACTCTGGAGCCTGCTCAGAACCCAGGGAGCCCCATGAGTTTCCCGTTTCTTGACCTCCAACCTTGGATGCGTTCCCATACACCCAGCGGCATCCAGTGAACAGATCCCTTTGCTTAAATATTTATGTGTTTTACTTCTTAAGACAGAAAGTCTAAACTAGTGAAGTCTTGATGCATCGGGTTTGGTTGTGATACATAAAAAACTGATAGTGAAGGAGCCTTAGGTGTTCTGCCTGTACTTCCAGTAAGACAAACAAATCTCAGCTCTCCCAGCCAAGGCGGGACTCTTCTCTCTCTTTCTTCAGAGGGAGAAGAGTTTAACAGAAGCGTTGGCTGGACCCCGGGGCTGGGAGAGCTGTTCGATAGGCCAGGATCCTTGCCACTATCCTCGCCCTTGCATGCTGTCTGCAAACTCCCTGCAGAACAGCTCTGCACAGTGCTGGAGGTCAAGGAGAAGAAAAGGTAAAGGGTTGCTCTAGAGACTCAGGTAAGCCTGTGATGCAGGAGCAGGGCTCTGTCCCCTGCCACCAGGGGGCATCTCCTGTATTAAGGACTCTCCTTCTTGGGTACAAGAGGAGTCAGGGTGTGTAGCATGAATGAATGGCAGAACAACAATAACTTGGAGGACCCCACTTCCCTGCAGTTGCGATCCATCCAAAACACTGAGCATTCAAACCATCCCGTCCCAAGTCCCAGCCCCTTTCAGCCCTTCCCTGCCCTCCATTCCACTGTTAACACACACCAAGTCCTAAGGCTGACTTCAAACACCATTTCACATTTCCTCCCCAAGTATATCCCTGCAGTAATGGCAAACACACAGAAACTTGATGAACGAAGGGTAAGAATACAATAAAAATTTCCAGCAGTTATTATTTGCTACATAAGAGAGAGGCTCTGCACTGGCTGCCAAGAAATCTGAGAGCCTCATACCCAGAGGGCTGCGTACCCAGAGACCCTGGGGTATGGCCCTCAGACCATCCTCCTTGGGGAGGAGGCTACGTTAGTAGCCAATTACATCCCACCTTCACTGATAACCAATTTCCTGCACAGAACCAGGGGCTCATAGCTTTTGGGAGGAGTACCAACTGATAAGAAGCTGTTGTTGCAGAATCCCAGTTGATTTTATTTTCCTCTTGGCACTGTGGACTAGAATGCCAGTGAGGAGGGAGCACGGGAAAATGGACTTAATTAGCAAGATGAGCCTAGTGCCTGCTAGGATCACTTCTCAGAACACAGAGAACAGCCGTGGTCACAGTTTTCCTCTGACGTAGGAAGAAACCAAAGGCTGGGGAAAACCAAAGGCTGTGGTGGCAATGTAAGACCAGAGGCTGAAGCCAATTATAGAGTCTTTACCCTTTGCGGTAGCCAGTCTCCAAGATGGCCCCTGATGACTGCTGCCTCCGGGTATTCTCCAGGAGGTGTTCCTCTCCCTCACTGAAAAGGGAGGGGCCGTGTACCCAAGAGGATATTCCAGAAATGACGGAGTTTGACTTCCAAGAGGAGGCCACAAACAACACCACAGCTTCTGCCTTGTGCTCTCTTGCATCATTTGTTTTGAGGGAAGCCAGCTGCCATGTCATGAAGATACTCAGGCAGCACTATGGAGGGGTCCGTGTGGCAAGGACCAGAGGCCTCCTGCCAACAGTGCACGTCACTTTGTCAGCCACATGGGGGAGGCACCTTGAAGCACTTCCTCCAGCCCCAGTCGAGCCTTCAAATGATCACAGCCCCAGCCAGCATCTTGACTGGCACCTCATGACACTGAGCCAGAACCACTTGGCTAGCTGCTTTCAGATATTGTACATATTTATTGTTGTTTTATATCACAACCTATGGTGTAATATATTTTGCAGCAAATAGATCACTCATGTGCCCTGCCAAGTATACCATCCTATCTGTCTCTACAAGAAACTGACTTTATCCCCAGTGGGAAACCTTGCCAGAGTGTCTTAAGTAAACAATCTTCTCCTTGCTAGAGTATCCGTACCTCCTGATATCCATATCCCCTGCCTGGGTATTCAGAGGCAGAAAGCCGCCATTCTGCTGCTCTTCTTCTATATCATCTTCAAGCACTGTAGCAAAGTAAACACACACACATACACATGCATATACAAACATTCACACACACACAGAGCTTCCTCTTAAACCTGAAAAATCACTCAAGCACTGGGAAGATGCATTTTTTTTTTCCAGGAAGGACCGGATGCTCTGGATGTTTTAAGTACCATTTGTGCATGCTGTCTCTGAATAGACAGATGGAGGGGGGTAGTGTGGGAGGGTACAGCTGACTACTGAGAATTGATAGATGTCTCTGTTCTCCTTTGCTAGTCATAAAATTCTGAGCTGTGTGAGGACCAGCAGGAGAAGAAAGCCACTGCCAAAGCATCCAAGCATTCATTTAAATATTTCAGAATGGAATTTTCCCCCTTTATTCACTTTTCCCCCTCCTGTTTGTCTCCCCAGGTGAGGAAGAGGGTCTTTAATAAAGCAAAAACAGAGAATCTGTGAGCATAATAGCACGTCTAAACTATGCTAGAGGCAGTCAAGATAGAGAGAGAAATATTTCCTTGTGTAGGTGTTCAACGCTGAAGAACGTGGAAGATATCAGGTGTAGATTAAATACCTGGAGCTCCTTGTCCTCCAGGGTGGGGGTCAGGAAGAATGCTCTGAGCCTAGAAGGCATGTAGCATTCTTCCAGGCTACAGGGGGCCATGAAGGCAGAGGCAAAGGGTAGAGAGAGCACTCAGAGTGGGGAATAAAACACAGCAGAGAAAAAAGAAATCAGGCAGGGAAGGAATTCTGGAATGTTCATCCAGAGTGGATCTGTATGGGCTGAAACATGACCTGGTGAGAAACAGTGTCTCCCCATCTTCTTAACTATGTGTTCATTTTTTTATTTCTGCTAAGGGCCTCTACCGGTCTGTCCTTCCAAGTGCTGAGTCACACCTGAAGGGTTACATGAGCAGTGAAATATTCTTGTCTCATGACAAGTAGAACCACGGAGGTCCTTCTCTGGGAAGAGTCGGGGCTGATCATAACCACAATTTGGGGAGGCAGTTTGGGGACACATTCTTGTGTCTCACTCTCACCTGCCCCTGGATGCCCTCCAGAACCAGGTCCTGCTTCTCTGCTCATCTTCATTTATGCAACTTCTCTTGATGAGCTTATCCTCACCTATGATTTCACCCACCAGCTCTGATTGATAATAAATCTGGATTTCCAGCCCTGGCCTCTCATCCCTGATCTGCCCCTGCGTGCACCTGGGCAAGGACTTGCCTCCCTCTCTTAGTTGTCTGACCTTCACCTTACACTCAACATGCCCAACTTAGAATTCAACTCCACACAAAGACTTCTTTTCTCCATGACCTTATCCCTGTCATTCAGGGACCTTGGGATCACCTCGGTCTTCTCTTTGCTCAAGTCCTAAAACCATTCTGCCAGCGAGGCTTGAGGTCTTTCCCTTCAAACTATACCTTCATCAATCAATGACTACCCTGTGCTCACTGCCTCCACTCTATTCAAACCCATCATGACAAGCCTGGAACACCCTTTTCATTCCTTTGTCACTTCCTGCCATATTTCAAAGTTGGAAGCAAGTGCCCCATTTCCCCAAGCCTTATCTGACCCCTCAAGATCACATTTGTCTCCTTTCTGGAACTGCTATTCGTTCTATTCAAAAAATAGTTATTGAGGATCTATTGTGTACAACGTGCGAGGTACTGAGGACGCTAACAAATAATTAGTCTAGTAACCATCACACCATGAATCCCTTCTGTGTTTTTTCTCTCTTAAGAGTGTTTCTCCAACCAATTTCTTAAATAGCCAGGACTACGTCTTCAATGTCTTTTGTGAAACCCACAGTGACAGACTATAGGGCACATAACGTGTTCTTACTGAGTGCTTGTTGGTTATATGCAAGATGGGCAGCAGAATAAGACTAGAGATACATGTCAACTGCAATGTTTACCTAGACTGGAGAATTATCTTTGGTTAAGAAAAAAAAAAAAAAAAACACATCAAGAAATTAAAGAAACCTCACTGTTTTGGAGTGGTGTTTTACATGTATAACCAACAATTCAATTTAACTTGGCAAATGATTTCATTCAGATTTTAAATATAGTGGTTAATAACCCATTTCCCAAATTCCGTAATCATGAACTGATAGGCACATATTAAGACTAAAGAACTAATATAAAAATGATTCATAGCACCTTAATAATTTGAACATAGATATTTGAAATGTCGTAAGAGATTTTACAAGACAGAAATAGGAGCAAATTGAGAAGCACTGAACACAAATTCTTAGATAAAACCATTCTGTCCTATTAAGGACAAGGATATTGATAGGATCTAAACACATGAGGCAACCCGGCCATCCTCTCAGCAAAAGGATGTCTTGGAACCAGGGACAGAATGGGGCTCAGGCAATACCAATGGTGTACTTTCTAACTGTTCCCAAGAAAGAAACTTTTGTGAATCAGAAGTGGAGGAATATCACTTCTCCCAAATGTAAAAGTTTCTGGTACAAGGAAAAAATAGGAAGATAGTTCGCTCATCCAAACCTCAAATGGTATAGTTTTGATACTTCGTTCAGAAGATCTAGTATGGACCTCTACTTAGACATCCGGTTCAAGGAACGTATGTCACTCTAGCCCAGAAGAGATCTTCACATGCTGAACAGAAGCTCAATTCAGAGTCAAAAGTTAGTCCCAGGCACACATCTACTGTCAAATTTAATCTTTTAAACAATTTTGTACTCACCTGCCAGAATATGCTATCTATTGTGTTTCCAAGAAAACCATCGCGACCTTCTGAAGACACCAGTTTGGGGCCAAGAATTGTCATGAATTCATCAAAGTCCACTTGGCCGTCCCCTGGAAGGAGAAAATATAAATGTGAGTTGAAATGTTGTTGATAGAAAAAAAAAAGGGGGGGCGCCTGGGTGGCTCAGTCGTTAAGCGTCTGCCTTCGGCTCAGGTCATGATCCCAGGGTCCT